ATTGCACGTCCATAAATGAATTTTTATGTTAAGTGTAAAAGTTTACTATTCAATTTGATACAACACTACCTTACAAAAATCCAAGGACTAGACTGTGGAATACATAGTGTGCAGCGTAAGACAGTGGCCTGTACAGTATTTTTACAATAAGTACAACCTCAATCTCATCCTCATCTGCCACTCAATGGAGTTTTTAATTGATATTATACAACACGCTGTGCAAAATGTAAATATAAGAATAGAATGCAAAGATGTGCAAATCATGTAAACTTTATAAATTGAAAAGTGCATAGTGCCAGAACCCAAAACCAAGAAGTTGGATTTACTGATATATATTTGTTCATTAAGGTACAAACAATGTAAATGTACTTTCAAAGGTCCAACTTGGAGTCAGGACAGTGTGTTTGGAGTCACTGCAACTTAAATATTGTAATGGAATATAGTACCACTATGTTCCCTAACTAAAGGTACTGAAGCAGTATCCTGGAGAGATACCTCATTGATAGGAAGGGTTACAACCCCAGTGATAGTTTTGTCCTAGAGAGTCTTGAGTCTGAAGCTTGAACATTGGCTAGAAAACAGTTGCTAATTAGCATGGTTCAGCACAGTTTAATGATTTTCTGGCTCAGCTACACCTGACTGAACTTGCCTCTTAATTGCCAACTTTAGTGGGTGTGTTTGAGCAGGACAACCACCAAACTGGGCCTCTTGGATTTAAGTTCAAGACCCATGATTTAAGCACCAGCCCTATTGTTTGGAGATTGCGAGTTTGAGGCCACAGACAGCTGTGGCTGGGAGTCCAAGAGAGCATAATTGGCCTTGCTTTCTCAGTGGTTAGGATGCACCCCCCTTAACTCAGCAAGATGCTGGCCAACATAAGCGTCTGATTCTTCACCCGATTCTTGAGGCATGACGGGCATATGCAGGGGAATGTCCGTGCATGGACCACTGTTGTAAGAACACAGTGCATAGTGCCTGAATCAAGACACAGGGCTCATCCAGAGATTTGACAACACATAACTTTCCCCTCCTTCTCTGCGCTGTTTGTTATTGTGCTCTAAAACGAGCAGCCAGTAATGAAAAGCATTCGTCTTCGTGGTAATCAATTCAAAGTTAATTAAACCCGTATGTAGGCACGCTATAGATACGTCTGTGCCGTGCATCACAACAGTGGCAGCCCACAGCCTGCTTTTGAGTTCAGTGTAATTACCTCGTGAGGCGAGGTCATGCAGGGTCAGAAGAACAGTGGTTTCTCCTGCAACCCCCTTGATACTCAACTCAAACAAGGAAAAAAAAAAAAAAAAGTAATGGGTTTTACTGTCCTGATAAACATGGATGCTCAGCTCAGGGCAGACAATGCCAAGTAAAGACAGACTGTATTATCAGGGAGATAATAGATGCCATCAGGATGATTTTTTCACAAGTTTTTTCCCAATTAGTGGTTATACTGCACACAGATTTTTACCACTTGTTGACACAAGAAGCGCATTAATTTATCTTGCATTCAATCATAAGTGAGCCAGATTTGACAGAAAGCAGACAAGTACATCGCTGGCCTTGCTAATAAGCTGTAAACCTAGGTCTCTGCCAATATTCACAGCAGAACACACAGAGGCTGATAATAAGCAAAGAATCCTATTCCACAGGTGGAAATCACAGCAAAACAAAATGTATTTTGTCTAATAAAGCTAAAGTCATATGAACGCTGTGCATCATATCACACAACACACTTTCCACTGCATTTAATAACTCAAAGAGCAGAGAGTTACTATCAGGGCCTTTTCTTGCAGTAAGTCATAAAGCTGTTGCTTAGGGTTCCCGAGCCACCAGGCTATATGTATTTATTTATTTTGAATATGTTTTATTTCATTTGAATATACAATTTAATATACAGTAATTCTCTTGTATCTAGTTATTTATTGTTTTATTTTCCTTATCATAGCAGTTAGTTAACATTTTCCTATTCAAAATTATTATTAGCAGTATTTTTGCAGCAAGCAAACTTTTAGCCTATCATGTTTATCCTTAAAAACTTTAATTATATGAAAACACTAAATATAGTCTGCCTTAACAGTGTCATTTTTTACATGCATACAAATATTATCATTCTGAAAAAAATAAAATAAAAACACTGAAAACAACGTTATTGTAACATAAATAAGGAGAATTGTGCAAATACTCTAAAAAATTCTCTTTAGGGCTGAACGGGACTGTCGCCAGTCTTCTGTAATGTCTGTCCAGCCAGTAAACTAAGTTTACATTTCATATACATTCTCTATCAACAGACTGGAGTCTGAACTCCTGGCTTTTTCTGTTTGTTTCCATGTCAAACAGTGACAAACAATGTAAAGGCACAAAAAGAACTTTTCGTCAAATCCCATAATCAATCATAATAAAACATCTCTTCTACTTACAAACACAAACGGACTGATTGAAAGTTTCAAATCAGCACTTTCAACAGAAGGTCTCCATTTGTTTCGATTAGCCATGAATGGGAAATAACTCACAGAAAATTGCAATGCTTTCTTATTGTTGGTGATAACTGCGACTTCTAAGGCTTAGCTTAAATTTTCCTCCCTGTGGAAAATCCTCCCACGCTTCTGATCAGAGGCCGTCCCAGTGGCGTCTGCGCTGCAGCAGGTGTGATACGGTAATGTGGTGTCTGCTGTGGCGGTGATAGCAGAACCACAGGCTTTCCAGCTCCCTCCATGTTCAGCCTTTCACTGCTGTATCCTGCTCCAGGTCGGGGGAGGGGGGGGGGAGGGGGAGGAGGGGAGAGGGGTTCACCTCTGGACCATGTCCAACCTGCCTCAGCGGGAAGACGTGTCCAGGGCTCCAAATGAGCACCAATACAAGTGCGGAACAGGGAATTTGGCTTGTCACTCTACTCCCTCCCACACACAGGTTTACTCACAGGTTTGATTTTCTACAGTGTGGGGTCAGACATGTGTCTCGTATGCCCTGTTTATCTCTGTATTTCTGACAAAGTCAGGACATTTTTATTCTGAAAAAGTATGAATGCAAACAGACACTCAAATGAGAAGGTAGAAGAACAAAAAAATACTTTTGGTTCTTGCAAGGTTTCTAATCAGGCCCAATGTCATTTTCCCCCAAAGTTAAAACAAAGCCACATCAACAAACAGACATCTCTCACCCCACACCCCCAGCAGATGTCTGCCCGCGTTATGCTGTGATTACTCTCCTGACAAAGCGAAGCTCTATTAATCTAGACTGCTAATTACAACTCCTTGTAGCTTAACAAAGCCGCTCATTACCGGACGTTCCCGAAGGTGACAAATTATTTAAATTACATTTATTTAATTGGAAAATCATAAACAGCGTAGCGGGCAGGAAGCTGAGGCATGACGAGAGGCCAAGAAGAGGCCGGAGGGAGACCAAAGCTGCTGGCACTGTGCCAACCACCTGCCCAGTGGGCACTGATTAGTACCAGCCTTGTGGGAACGCCATAGAGGCTCAGAGCCTCGGGCCATCTGTAGGGGAGGTGCTTCCCTCATTTAGGATGGCCGGCCGGGACAGGAAAAATGTAGTGACACGAAGAGGTCACTGAAGCAAATGACTGAAGACAGGCCACTGTGGAAGGAGTTCCCCTGGATAGACTGTGTAACCACTAAGGTGGTTTTGGCATTGTTACTATTCAGATGAGTTTGAATTTACATGGGGTCTTGAGGTAATTTCCTCTTTTAAAGGTGCTCCTCTATGATTTTACAGCCACCTGGATTGTCCATGTCGGTCTTTTTCTCCTCGTCTTTTTCTAGTGTGCATATCAGAGTCTCCCCCAGGTTCTTTTCGAAAAGCAAAACGATAAATGGATGCTTTTGAAGAATCACTCAACTGTCTGGGTGGTAAAATTTTAACTTATTTCTCATGAGGAGAAAGAGTCAATCGGAAAAAGATGACGAGATCCTGCAGGCTCATTAAAGGGGCAGTTATAATGGCAGCTGCAGATAAAACACATTTTTTGCATTCACATATGCAAAATATCGTGAACTTTTTTAGGAAGTTTTTAAGAAAGTTTTTTAGAAGTAATGCTGTATTACTGTTGGTACTGTTGGTTACTGTTTGTAGAAAAATGCCACATTTAAGTTGGGGTGTTCCAACTTTTGTATACAACTGTATAAAATGGATGCTGATAAAATGGACACAGTGTAGATACAAGTTAGATGCACCTGAAATTTCTATGAGCTACACACTTAAGCATTCGTTGGCTGCACTCTGTGAGTTTGCATGGTCTGCCGCTTTGTAATTGAGCTGTTGTTGCTCCTAGATGCTTCCATTTCATGATAATTGCACTTACAGTTGACCATGGAAGACCAAGAAGGGCAGAAATTTTACAAACTAACTTGTGGCAAAGGCGGCATCAGAAAAGGTGGTGTCCGCATATTTTTGGCTACATTCTGTGAGTGCATCCTGTATATTTAGACTTAAATAACCTCAGGTTAAAATGCCCACCCTGGTTTGAGTGATCACATCTAAATTATTTTATCTTGAGAATCTCTCATGCATTTACATCTGCATTTTTATGTGCATAATCCCTATTCAGATATAATCCTGATATTGAGGACACATGAATACACCAGGTGTGAGCGGGGTCATTATTTCTCCTTTCTTTACTGTTGTCAGTACAACCACACTTCAACAGTTCAACGATATAAACGTCAACACGGGGAGGAACTGTCAGACTGAGTTGCCGCTAAAATAACAAACAAAACAAAAACTAACAAGGTAGCCAGTGAGATAAATAACCCAAAAAGAAAGAGGGGAAACAAAGATACACATATGCTTCCCTGTCTCCGTAGCCTATCCAAAACCTAGAGAAAAAAATGGTTTTCCAACATCCTGACTAGGGTAGCAGATTTCATTGAGTAAGACAGAAATACAGTGCTGAAACAGAGGCCCGGGGCAGCACAAATGCATAGAAGGACGAACCGGATCAAAGACAGCGGTGGAGAAGTGAGAAGCTTCCGTGGACAGAGACTTACCTTCACTTGACCCACAAAAGCGTTGGCCTGCTCCTCCTGAACTGTGAGATTCTGGGGCAGTAGAAGATCGAATACAGGGTCGTTATCATTGACATCAGTCACTAGAATGTCCACTGTGGCCGTTGAGGTCTGCAAATAAGAAAGAATGAGGTCTAAACTTACTATCTTGGTTTGACAGAACCAGTATTGCAGTTTAGTCTGAAAAAGTGTGTATGCTGGAACTAGCTTGTATTTGTAGAAGAAAAAAACTACTGAAGCTTAAGCCATTTACTGACAGAGTGTAAGAGTAAAAGCAGTGAGAAGGCATAAAAAACACAACAAACTTGCTACTTTAGCTATTAGGCATACCCTAACCAAAAAAATTTCATCTAATTATTTTGACTGAAATGATTAAGTTAATTATTTGTGATTAATCTCAATATTTTGTGTAGGTAATCATAATTAATTGCATTTGTCTTATTTGCTCAAATTTGAATCTGAATCTGAGGCAATCCATTGTATTATAGCCATATTAGCAGACAAAATAAGCTTTAACAGAATGAAATTGATTGATTAAATACTGGTTTCTATCACAGTTCTGACTTGGTTTCTTGAGAAAGAATCATTTCACATTAAACCACTACACATGATTTTGTTTGCCTCTGAATGATTTAATTATACAGACATAAAAAAAAATAAAAATCAACGGCATTCCGCTTTAAGCCGTTTATATATCCTTAGTTCTCCTGCGAGCACTGTCTGGCGTAGGCTGCCGAAGGAATCCTAATGTGCTAGCAGTTTACAGAGTTTATACAGTTAATAACTTTATACAGTTAATATAGCTAGCTATTAACTAGTTAAGAGCTGCGTTTGGAAGATCCTGTTGAGTTTTCTCCTTCAATGATCAAAATATACTTGAGAGCTAACAGCTCCCCTTGTGGAGAAACTCCAGTCTGCTGAAGACGTGTGAGTGAGTTAAAGGACAGGTCAATGAGGTGCATGGCATTTAAATATGAAAAAGGTTTAACATTTATTCATTGCATGGAGCTATCATAAGGGTGTCCAGATATTCTATGTTGCTCAATAAGCAAAAAACAGAGTAATACTTTTTTTTCTTAATAGAACTGATTACGTAAACAAATGCTAAGATAAATTAGGTTCACCTGGGAGCAGGAGGGCATCCAAGTTAAAATCCTTACAAGCATTACTGGCAATTTGCTATTAAATTTAATAAATTGAATTACATTACTGATTACATAATGAATTACATTCAGTTTACATTCTGTTTCTCAGGTTTGAGTGTGCACTGCTGACTTTTGCTGTCTGTTTCACTGTCAAACAATGACAAACATGGCAAAAATGTTTTTTTCTTTCTGAGTGTATGCACAAAAATAACTTTTATCAAATTCATTAAAAACTTCCCCTCTTCTGCTTACAAACACAAAAGTATCAATTGAACATCTGTGCACATTGAACTAAATTTCCACATTTTAAAGGCGCTATGAAAAAGACATAATCAGCAAATCATGTTTTTTATCACCAGTGTTAAATTCTAAGATTAACATGCAGGCATCATAGACCAATGAAACACAAACACAGTCAACCTCACCAACATAAAGGGACCAAAGTCCAATCAAAGGGGACCATGAACAACTTCATTAGCATGCAGTACTGAGCAAAATTGAAAGTCTAGCCTTCATTTATTTCACTGCCAGTCAAAATAGTTGCTAAGTACAAGTTATTCATTTTCAGGAGATATTTCTGAGGAGATTAGATATAAGATAAAATACAATAAGCAAATAAAATATGAGTTTAAAATTCTGTATTAAAAGAAAAATATAAAAAAATTGTGAAGACAACTCAACACTATGGCTCTGAAAGGACGTGGAGCTGTCAGAATGTTCCTACTGAGAAAAGGAAAACAGAAAAAAACAAAGAAACAACTTTATCAGTATACAGACAGGACCTGTTGTGGCAGAAGGAAAGAGCAATTTTCTGAGGAATTTTGATATTAAAGGAAACATTAAGATTCTAAGGAGCTGTTGGCTCTTTTCTGCTTCAGGCAATCAGCCTGGCAATGGTAAAAAGTTAGAGAATAGAATACCTTTGTTAAGAGTGAGCGAGTTTTATTTCTGTGGTCACTCAGCACTGGGTTTCAGCATCAATTTGTTACACTTCTTTGTTGTATCAACAAAGGCCAAATATATGAATCTCTGATGTGTCGTTACGCATTGTTAAGTTGGTATCATGCAAATTTTTCCTAGTGGGTACACGTCATTCATGTAGCCTACCATACAGACTGTGTATAGAACCCAGCAGGTTTGTATACACTCAGAGCGCACATATATATGAATGATACCAGCGATGCAGATGCTGAGCCGGCGGTGTGTGTGAATAAATTCAGCCCTCAAACTGTTGAATGATATCGTCTCCGCTCTGGCAGGAGCCCAGTGTTTGCTTACATAAACAAATATCCCCTTCCACTGATTAATTTACATAGATCTAGCAAAATTGATAACATATTTGCATTCATCATCAAGCTGTGAATAGAGGTCTAATGAAAAATTTCCCACAGCTGCCGGGCATATTAGCATTTTTGGAGGCCGGATCAACGGCAGAAGACAGTAGCAGCCAAATCAGCTCGCTGAGGCCAGGCTGACAATGATTAACTTAAGAGATTTCTAAAGCAACACATAGGGTTCCTCCGATTCACAAATATGCACCCTATCTACAGAATCTTTACACAATTTACACTACCGAAAAAACTAAATAACAAGCAACGCAAACGTATTCTTATGCTACATTTAACATGTAAAGCTCAATTCGAAGAAACAGGCATTACCTGCATATACCTGTAGAAAAGTTGTGCATGCAGTACGTCAGCACAGAGAACATCAGGTTCCAAATGAACATAAATAGCCTAAATGGTGCTGGGTCCACTTATGCACCATTAGAACATGCAGAGCTTTTATCTTAACATTGCTGGCCACTTACACAAGCGGCATGCTGCCCAGCTCCTATTTCCTTTTTTGTCATCCCGCAAAAGTAATTGCAGCTGGCAGTGATTACATAAAGAAATGGCCACCTCGGAGATGTGGACCTTTACAGAGAACCATGGATGAATTTTATAAAACTATGTGCATGTTCCCCATTCTGACAGTACTCTATTCAAATTATGATGACCGCAATATATGGTTTTGTTGGAAACATTCGGGGAACGTCTCATCCATTCCATGGATTTTTTTTCTAGGTCAATTAGGCTCCATCATCGAGCAGGCTTTGACTAAGTGAAATGTTTCATTAGATCCATGACTCTTATTGGACTTGATTGCTGATATTATGCTACAGGCCATGAATGTGAAACTCTCTTTGATCCAACAAGAATATAAAGCTATTACTGATTACTCATCAAAATGTGACCTTCTCCCTTGTATATTCTGTAGAAATAGCATGAAGTCTTACATGCTTTTGATAAAATTATATATATGGTGAAAAATGCTGGGTTATTTTTCTGACTAAATGCTGAGCTGAGCCTATTGAATCATTTTCTTGTGTTATTTCCACAGTGCTGGGTAGTTTTGTGTAGCCCAGCTACTGGGTCTATGGCTAGTGGTGATAGTAGAAACAATGCAGATAAAATAGTGCCCCTTCCGCTTCTGCCAGGTGTATCTACCAAGCTGCTGATTCATCTGTGCTAGCTAAGCTAACAATAATGTGGCAAGCAAGTGACTAATTAACTAAGTTACAGGTAGACAGAGCAGTTATAAACCTTTTACATCTGCACATCGAGGTCTGCTCTCTTGTGACAAAGTGGAGAGGGAGCAGAAAAAAAGCTGGCCTGCTAATAATGCTCCTCCTCTACTCTGCCACAAGAAAGCAGATCTCGCCATGCAGATATAAAAGGTTTGTAACTGCTTTTGTATCAACTTCTAACTTTAGAAGCAACAGTAGTTTGTTTCCCTCCATAAGAGTAGTTCCTTCACTAAACTGTTGCTTATGAAATAAAAAAGTAACACACAAGAGCTGATAATCTGTTAATGACACTTTTTAGAGTGTAGCATGTATAATAGTCCTCTGGCAAACACAGATACAATGTTCTAGAGATGGAGTGTCATACTGTGATCCTGGAGGGCTGCATTGCTGCTGGAGTTTAATTTTTTACCGTTCTAACAAGCGTGACTCAACTCATAAAGGTGATCATTATCAGATGTGCCCCCAAGGGTTGGATTTTGACACCTGTGACTCTGCAGTGATTTCTCATGCATTGGCATCAGCTGAACCTTGGACAAATATTGGAGAACTGCAGGAAGGCTAAAAGAGCTTCAGGAGAGTCTACTGCATATTTTCATGACAAGTATACTGCCTAGGCTGACTAAAACGTCAGATTAGATGCCCTGGCCATTAGACCTGGAGCCAAATACTTGGTGAGACTGCCTATCCGCCCACTGCAGCCATCCCTCTCCAAGGCTTCAGCCCCTGTTTGATCACTCTAATCACATCTCCCTACAACCCATTTCCCAACAAGCTAGTTCTCATCATGTCCGTAAACTGCAGGCCCCTAAGGGGATAATATCTTCCTAATTTAAGTGGCGAGGGTGATGGGAAAATATCGTAAATTAGCTAATGTTCCTTCATGGCCATACAGAGTTCTCCGATAAAGGTTTAAATGGCGGCAGGTTTGACAGATTGTACTTGTAAATTTTTCATGCAGTGGCTATAAAGCCTGCTGAGTTTGCATTATGCCTGTGGAAGGCTTAGTGCGAGGCAGGTGTAAAGGCTGCCCTCATAAGCTGCGAGGCAAACTTGCTATTGTTCTTCGGTTTGTCAACAACGTTGAGAAAGGCAGAATTTTGCAGAGATTTCCTTTGCAAAGGCTGCAAAATGAAATAAACTGCCATGGAATCCCTCAAAGTGGGTGGAATACAAGCCGGGGCGAATTTACATAAAACTCCTCTAAGTAGAAGCAGTCAGGGCTTTAGATTCAAATTCAACAGTCTGACAGTTTGGCTTCAAGCTCTGCAATGGTTCTCCATGTAGACCTTGGCCTCTGGGTTACCTGGACTGTGATCATTCCTCCTCTCTCTGGGCAGCAGAGCCGACGGCGGCACCCTGGTCACTTCCTCCTGGAGCGGAGGTCAAGTAGCGAAGGTTTGCCTAGGAGCCTTAGGGATGCGCTCAATTCACATCCCTCCCCTACTGCACACCCAGGGAAGTTCTTTTTATTAAATTGGCTAACGACCAAGTGCTTTAAGAAAGGTCACTGAATTTCAAAGACCCTTCCAAACTTTCCTCAATGTTCTCAGCTGTAAATGGAAGCAACAAGGTCAGTGAGGGGAAAAGGAGTTGCAGGTGCTCTTCAGCAGAGGGACAGAAAGAGAAAAAAGAGTGAGAGAGTCCCTATACCCTCCATTGTCATCTTTCATGGGGTGGCCCTGCATCAGCTCGTCTCTTCAAAGGAGGAGTGAAGGGGAGACCAAGTGCAGATGCGTCTGCCAATTAAGGTGGACTCTGATTAAATCATAGTGGTTGTTCGCTCAGCACCGCATGACAGGAGAAAGGAATTTGTATTCATTTCCCATAAAGGTCAGAATGGTGCAATAGCAAAGCAACACTAAAAGGTGCCAGCGCCTGTCTTCCCAGCCTCTGATATGACAAATCTGCTGTCAGGCAGCTGCCTTGACAAGCTGGAGGTGAGAGGAGAGGGTTTTTCAGATTTAAGATCTCACTTAACAAGGCCTTCCACCCCATCCCCCACCAGGGGAAGTATCATCAAGGCAGCAGGCAAGACAATTAGGCGAATGCCCTTGGACGCTAACGCTAAACCCGTAGCGTAATGATTCTTTTATTCCATGCTGCTGTGGGAGACATAAACTAGTTCGTCCATAGCTGAGAATGGCTTGCTCAGGATGGCAGCTCAGTGAAGGAGCGAAACAAGGGAATGAGCTCCATAATTAAAAAAAAGCCTGCTCTGCTCATTTATCTCCATCATCACAGCGTAATCACTCCACGGTGAGATACACCTCGTTCCACCGCTATTCAGATCAATCACAGTGGGCCCTTGGAGAGAGCCACTTAAAAAATGCACAGTGGGGACAACAGACTGAGAAAAGGAGTAAAGCACAGGAGTCCACAGAATTCAAATGACACAGACAGCAATGAATGACTGTGTGAGGGCAAACCTCTTGAAATGAAAAAAAGGTATGCAGTTTGCTAAGACTACGCAAGTGCTCACAACACTACATGACATACAGTCGTATGCAAAAGTTTGGAACCCCCAGCTCAAATTACATGGATTTTCTAAGTGAAATTAAGTTAACACATCCTCTACAGGCAACAAACTTAAGTGTGACATTTTTCTGAAAATATTAAAGCACAATTTCTCTTTATTTGCCGAGCATAACATACAGGGGAAAAAACATCAAATTTGACAACACATTATAGTGTTTTATTCAGCAAATAAACAGTAATATTGCATTAAAATAAGCATACGTGTGCTCCCATAGAGGATATGTTAACTTATTTTCAACAAAAAACGACACAGAGGCCCACACTAGCATAGAAAACTAGCATAGCATTTCTGACACGACAACAAATCCTCCGGGTACCTGTTTTCCTAATAGCTCTGCAGCCAAAATCAGTTTAAGGAGGTAGATAAAGAACTACATTTTACACTTTCTCCAACAGCTTGCATGAACCTAGTGCTATCATGCTTCTAAGACACTGAACTAGGGTCCATTCAATTCGGGGCATGCTGTGCTCCACTTGGACTCGAGTGAGTGACTTCTTTGTAGACAGAGGATTAGCTTTGAGAAGGAGCAACTGTCCTCCACAGTGTTTGATTTACCACAGACCGTGATCAACAGACTGAGAGAGTGACCGACTAGCTGTGGCAGGCCTTACCCCGTCCGGCTTGCCATCGGACGCAGTGACGGTCAGTGTATAGTGATCTGTGCTCTCCCTGTCCAGCATCTTCGCCAGCAGCAATAGCCCAGACCTGCAAAGCACAAACACGGACCATGAAACTCAGAGAAACATAGAGAAACGGCAGAAGATGGAGTTTTACACTGGGAAGTTTACAAGCATCCATTAGCAGTAAACTAGCCTCTTGATTATTCACATGGAATGTGAAGTGATCGGGGTGCAGGATTTTGGTAAAGAATCTGTGCCTGAAAATAGTAGGAAGGCTCAGCCCAAACAGAAACACAATGAGTCATTTCCAGCTGAGATTGCCCCCATCAAAAGAGGAACTGACGGACTCATTTGTTCCTCAATAAAACGGCAAGGCAATGCATTAGTCTTTCACAAAATTACTGGCCAGCCCTGCATGTCATTCAGAACAGCTGCATCATACTATAGCTGCGGGAAATTAAAAATATAATAATTGTTGTCCCACAGCTACAAGCATTTGTAAAATGTATTCAGACTCATTCCAGCAAGAGGGACAATATGAGGTAAGCTCACAGATCACTTTGGCACTAAAGCACTCCTGGCAGTGGAGTTGCATCATTAACATTAACCGAATGACAAACTGTTGAGGATTCTATTTTTTTTTTTTACTATCTGTGACAGATTTCCTGTTTGCTCTACTTTTTATGTTCCATCTAATTTTTTGGCACAAGCTGACAAGTGAGTCTGTCACTCGCATACGACATTTCCCATCTCAGCTTTTCAATTAGCAAGGAGAAGTTTGCAAACCAACACAAAGAGTATCTTATAGACAAAGGCTTGCAGCTCTAGGAGGCATATGCATTGACAGGCATGCATTGTCTATGTGAAACAAATGAACGAAAGGCGGCATCCTCAAGGCGTCAGAGCACCTCATGTGTATGCATTATCTATTCACACGAGCCATTATCTGTCATACATACACACATGGATCCTCTCCCTCATTATGTAGCATCAATGATCACTGAAGAAGATAAAAGTTCAGCACCGTCATTATTCTAAGCAGCAGCTGGAAATGCAAACTGAGTGGAATTAAGCTGAACAAGGGAATGTCATTTACTCCCGTGTTTTTGAAGCCCTAAGCGACTAATAGACTATTGGGGAGGAAGAGAGAGCAGTTATCATCTGAGAATCACTCCAAAGCCAAAGCGAGGCAGAGGTTATCCAACTAATTTGATTTTCTGAGTCGGTGAGGAGGAGGATGAGTGGGTGGCGAGCCTGGAGTGTCTCTGAGCCACCTGATGAGCGCTCCTGTTAGCATGGGGCTTGCCATGGTGTTGGCTACGTGGGCTCCGCATACTTAAAGTTATAGCTCTGCAAAACATTGAATTTAAGCAATTTTCCTCTTGTAGTCAAACAGCCAAGATATGTCTGGTGCTTGAAATTTGCTTCTTTTATTTTAAGGTTAAAGCAGATCAAAGGAAATGGAGGCTTAGAGTCATGTTAAAACGATAAATAACAACCACATCATGTTGCAGGCTGTAAAGGATCCATGTGAAAATGGTTACCATGGATGAGATGCATTATGAGTAAGAGGGAGATCAGGACTGTCTCAATAGTGGAAGCTAACTGGTGAAGTATGTTGTAAAACATTAGGGGCCAGTTTCCCAGACCCAGATTAAGCATAAGCCTTGACTAGAAAGAATTTCCTCCGGTAATTCTCCATTGACACTGAAGTGTAATCCAAGATTAAACTTAATCCTTGTCCGGGAAACTGGCACCTGATCTTTCTGTGAGTCGTGAATGTACACTTGTTTCAGCATCTATCAATCTATCTATCTGTCTATCTATATACAGCCATACACCAAAACAGCAAAATACATTTACTGTTAAACATTTTACGTTTTGTTTTGAAATATATGTTAAACATAGCAAATAAATAACAATTGTGCACTAAATTTAGAAGAAAAATTCAATTTCTAAGTTTCCTGTAGAGGATGTGTTCACTTATTTTCACTTAGAAATTCAACAAGACATGTCATTTTATTAGTGGCATTTAAATTTGCATGTGACTTTAAATATATATAAGGAGCTAATCACATTTAATCACATTATTTTGTGTAGTTAATCATAATGAATTGCATTTGTCTTATTTGAGCAACAATTTAAAAAATAAATGTGATCCTAAAAACAGATTTTTTCCATTTAAAGTCTGTGCATTTTTGTTTGTTTGTAGCTTTCCACCTTGCTGTTGCATTTGTTACTTTGCTACAAGCACTTTTAAGCACAGCCTGCTGAATAACTGGTATTGCTGACATAAATGGTGTGTTATGCTTCAATGTTCTTTGGTTCTAAACAAATTCAAAGCACTAGAAATAACTGGCTTCATCAAGACAGCCATCAATGGAGTTCGCCATTTGAAAGTTGTTTTTTAAACAAGAGGGCTGCAATTGCTGAGTCACTCATAGTAGCATGCAGCACACAAGCAGCTGAATTTCAGTATGGAACTATATAGATGGTTTGAAGGGTCAAACTAAGGAAATGAGTTCACAGCATTTAATAATGAGTCGCATTAATCATGTATCATGTTAATGTATATATGTATGTATATATACATATGTATTTATTCCTTTTCATATGCATCTTTTTCACATTTTTCTTTTTCATGTGCATACAAAACCCTCGATTTCTTTACAAAGCAACCCAGGGTACGAGGAAAGTGTTATTTAAAAGTAACGAACAAGAAAACAAACAAACAAATAAATAAAAAATGTGAGGTGTAGATTTGAGCAGGTCCTTTCGCCACGTTTCCAGTGAAACTGCCCGCACTACTCCAGCACTCCCGTAGTTACGCCACTGTTTAGTCACTTGCAAGGTGGAAACTGTTGCATCATCACTTGCTTGAATCAATGTTGACAGTTAAGTAAAATAAACTATATTTGCTTATGTATATTGCATAGCTAAAGGCAGTAGCAGCCACATGTCTGTACGTTCGTCCATTATAGATTTTACAGACGGCGGCATGTCAGTGTCAGAAACCACATATGCATATCCATTACTCAACAACTTGAAGTCTTAATTGGTGGGGTAAATCTTTCCATTACTTGTTAGTTACTTTAGACTCCAGTATAAACTAAGGAAGCAAAGTTCAGACACCAATCATGTCTTTCATTCACATACCCTTAACTACCGCTTCAAAACATGAGGAACCGTAACAGGTTTCGGAAATAAAACGATGCATTTGTAGGTTTTCATTCCATCACTGTCAAGCTCCTGCCTTTCTTCCTTTCTGAGAATGTTTGGCAATGCATGCATCAGTCTTTGTTGAGTCGACACCAGCTGTCTACGGCTAAGTACACATTTACAGACTCGCCTCCAGGCACCTTTTGCTGAATGCGTGGATCTGCTGAGCTATTGCATAAGCCACCTTTCTGACTGGCAGCCAGGCTACAGCTTAGCGTGGCATCGTAACGGAGAGGACGTAGAAGGAGGGGCTGTTGTCAGTGACGGGTAGCAGAGGCGGACACTTGTCTTCTGGGTGCTCTAACAGCACGCACACAAATGTTAATATTTTATAATGTTTGCAATATCTTGCCTTTGATAATGTGCAACCAATGAGCATGATCAAAAGCTGGGAGGTGGGAAGTGAAGTGGCTTGTGGTGCCATGCCAGTGTGTGAGAGGCGGATTACAAAAAGAAATAATGGACAGCTATAGAACTCTTTTATATTAAAGTAATCCTCTGGCTCAATGCTCTTTGTAATATATAAGAGACAAAGTATTAATGTTTTTTCAACAACATCAATTATAATTGCTGAAAATAGATGTAAAAAGCCAGCTTTTTAGAAATAAAGAAGTTCTTATATTTTTTTATCTATTATTGCTTAATATGAATGAGTCACAGATGACATAGCTCAGTTTTTACTGAGCAGATCTGGTAATGAAAGGCCATGGTTCACAGTGGTACTGAACTCTCTAACCCAGGGGTGACGAACCTTGGCCCTGGAGGGCGAGTGTCCAGCACAGTTTGGTGATTTTCCTGCTCTTAACACAACTTAATCTGGCAGTTAGTTGCTCAATTGAATCAGGTGTGTTTGAGTAGCAAACTCACCAAACTGTGCAGGACTTCGGCCCACCTGCCTGGCACCTGCTGCCACCTTTGTTCTAACCTAAATGCACAGAATCAGATGCCTCATATCTAGAATCTCGTAATGAGAATGTTTGGGGACAACCTTGAGAAATTGTGGGCTAAATGTGGGTAGGGAATTGGTCTATGTTGCACAAATAGAAAAATAGTTTTTGTTTCATAAAAATATTTGGCTCTCAAATGAAATCAATCAATCAGAGAAATGTTTTCTGGCACTTGTGGTTTTGCAATGGCCAAAGTCTGGTGACTCCGCTAACCCCCTGAAGCCATTCCCACCAGTGAAAAGGAGGAGTGACACCACAGCTTATGCAATATTACACCCGCTATTTGTGTAAATGAGATGTGTGAGTGGGAAGAACCTTTAAAGAATATCCACATAATGTAACATTTCTATACTAAATTAAATTTTCTAGAACCATGCATCCAAACTACTAACCATTTATTTTAAAAACTTTCATTTTAAAAAAGAGAATTCCACGGATGTTTCAGAATTTCTGCATAATTAAATGCTTAAGATGTAGAGTCATTCAGAGTGGGCTGATGTGAAATGCTCCATTTTAAAGAAGAGTCAGAATTATCACAGAAGTAGCAAGCAGATGTCCAAAGTGTTTAATGGCTCTAAAATAGGGATGTCCACAAAGGGCCAGTGTGGGTGCAGGTTTTCATTCCAAACAAGAAGAGCATGTCTGGTTCCACTCGTCAGTCAGTCTCAGTCTTTAAAACAACTGATCATGTCTGATCCTGCTTTGCTGCAACGAAAACCTGCAGCCACACTGGCCCTTTGCCAACAAGACTGGACACCTCTGTCTAAAATCTTCCTCACAGAAAGTTAATACATGTGACAATTTTGAATACACTGCCTGATGCCCAAGACATCCTTTTACAATAGTTTTTAGATAAGCTTTTGACTTAATACATATTTTTAAAACCCGTTCTTGGTGGAGAGGTACATGCACAGCACTCTATTGCAAAATAGTATCCAAATAAACATACTTTTTGAATTTAGACTATTTCACCATTACCATTTGTAGGCTCACTGGACATTTTGTATAGTAAATAAAATGGCTATATTTGCATTGCACACATTGTGACCCCTGGTTGCTCACCAGTCTCTTTCAAAGTACCATCTCACATTAAAACACTCTTAAAAAAAATGTTTACATCTCATTGTTGAATTATGCATACATTTTCTGAGGAATTCCCCTTTTTAGAGTGTGGTGCATCTGGGGCTCCGGCAAGTAAAAATCAACTTGGCAAAGCAAAACCTTTTCCAAAAGGGTGCTTACGTTTGGTTGAGTTCAAAGATGGCGCTGGGATCACCGCTCAGGACGTTGTACGTAATGGGATCTCTTTCACGGTCTGTTGCCTGCAAAAGACACACAAGTACTTTCATGTAACAGTAATTCAATTACTCCCTGAGCTGAGATTCAGCACGGCTCCGGCTCCTGTGGGAAATCCTGCATAGCCCGAAAAACCTCTGCAACATTCTTGCATAAGAGAAAACTATAATTGGTTCCCAAATGTAGCTCAAACTCAACATTACGGTATTAAGAATCTGGGCCTGCACTCACAAAGTAAGCTTCTATCAAATTTGGTTAGCAGACAGAGTTGGGCTTCCTCATTTTTAAAAAGTAAAAAGTTAGTCAGGATCAGCCCTCTAATTCATTTATAATTCTTTATAATATTACTATGAATCACTCGTTAACCCTTAAAAGTCCACAACATTTTGTCTGCTATCGATTCAAGTTACATCCAAAACTATTTAAATATACTTACACAACTGTATAATTAACTATATTTAGGTACAGCCCTTGCAAAAGACCACCCATTCATTTCAAAACATCAAAAACCTCCGTTTAGCACAAGTTATTCATTTGTTAGCATCATATATTTATATATTTAGCCTCAGCAAATTAAATAAATTTAACAGATAATTATGCAGAAGTCCCAACAACTAAATATATCATCACATTTTCAGCATTTAGTGTGTTCACCCTTTACCTATTCCCATTTTCTATGTATCGTTTAATATGTTTGTTTGACTTGCCCTTCCTTATGCAAGTGGGTTACCTTATATTCAATCTCCTCACAAATACCTCCTGAAAAAATGTATATCTTGTACCTGAAGGCTACTTTGAGTGGCATTTTGTATGGTCAAATTACATGTTTTGTTGATAAAAAATGGCATACTTCTGCAAATTGTAGTGCACAATTTCTATTTATTTACTAAAACATCAAATATAAAAGGTGCCATAACTTCTGAACAGGCTAGATTTTATGTTTTATTTTTTCCAATTCATTAAACACAAATAAACAGTAACTGTACACTAAAATGTGCAGAGGTGTGTTCTCTGTGGAGGATGTGTTAACTTATTTTCACTTAGAAAATCAACAAAAACGTAATTTGTCTGGGGGTGTTGAAACTTACAAATGCACACTTATTCCCAAAGATATAATACTGCCATTAAGAAAATAAAACATGTTACAAAAAAGTTGGGACGTGGCAACAAAAGGCTGGTAAAGTAGTGTAATGCCAAAAAAAAACACCTGGTGGTTGATTGGCAACAGGTCAGTAATATGATTGGTATAAAAGAGCATCTCAGAGAGGCTGAGTCTTTCAGAAGTAAAGATGAAGAGGGGTTCACCACTCTATGAAAGACTGCATGAGCAAATAGTTCAATAATTCAAGAATAACGTTTCTTAGTACAAAATAGCAAATAACTTTTTCATCATCTGCAGTACATAATAACATTAAAAGATTCAGAGAATCTGGAGAAATCTCTGTATGCAAGGGACAAGGCCAAAAACCAGCATTTGCTGGCCATGATCTTTGGGCCCTCAGGCGGCACTGCATTAAAAACAGACACAATTCTGTTTTGGCAATCACTGCATGGGCTCAGAAACACTTCTGAAAACCACTGTCTGTGAACACTGTTTGTTGCTGCATCCACAAATGCAAGTTAGAACTTTAAAATGCAAAGAAGAAATCATATAAAAACAAGATCCAGAAACGCCACCACCTTCTCTGCGCCCTGAGCTCATTTAAAATGGACTGAGGCAATGCAGAAAAGTGTCCTGTGGTCTGACAAATCAACATTTGAAATTCTTTTTGGAAATCATGGACACTGTGTCCTTCGGGCTAAAGACCACTCAGCTTGTTATCAGTACACATTTGCCAGCATCTGTGATGGTCTGGGGGTGCATTAGTGCACATGGCATGGGTGATGTGAACATCTGTGAAGACTCCATTAATGCTGAAAGATATATACATGTTTTGGCAACATATGCTGCCATCCAGATGACGTCTTTTTCAGGGAAGGTCTTGCTTATTTCAGGAAGACAATGTAAAACCACATTCTGCATGTATTACAGCAGCATGGCTCCGTATTAAAAGAGTCTGTATGTTAAACTGGCCTGCCTGCAGTCCAAAACTCTCACCACTAAAAACTTTTGTTAAATGAAAAATATGACAAATGAGCCCCAGAAATGTTGAGCAGCTGAAATCCTATAATCCTGTAATTGGTCTCCTTAGTTCCCAAACACTTACAGAGTGTAGTTAAAAGAAGAGGTGATGAAACACAGTGGTAAACATGCCCCTGTCCCAACTTTTTTGGAACATGTTGTTGCCATTAAATTCAAAATGGGCATATATTTTTCCTAAAACAAAAAAAATTCTCAATTTCATTTACATTTGATATGTTGTCTTTGTACTATTTTCCTTTAGAAACATGGTTTGCATTCTATTTTTATTTACATTCTGCACAGCACCCCAACTTTTTTTGGAAATGGGGTTGTACATTTACTTCTGAAGTAAACTGTACATTTGATCAAACCTTTAGGATTGTAAACCATGTGGCTATTCACAGGAGAAGAATACTGTACATGCATCGTTGCTATCCTTGCAGATGTATGCTTGGTAAGAAGGATTCTGCAGTGTGGGGTAGGAAGCCACGGGGGAGAGTGATCATTCAGAAAGAACTGTGGGAGGCTTTCTGGAAGATGAATGCTCATGGCATTACACTCCACAGCTGCAGCATTTGACCAAAGACTGCTGATAATCGGGTACTCCCAAGACACATGTAAACCCGAACCAACTGTTCCAGTATAGCGTACGGTGTGTGGTAAGGATATGCAGGCAGTTTAATTTGGAACCTCTTCAAAGGAATAGACAGACTTTATGAATAAACTTGCAGTCTATAAGCTGGTACATTAGGTTTGTGGATATAAAAAAGCTAACAATGCCCTCACAAAATCTCAGAAAGCAGCCATAAATGCTTGACAAAGTACAAGTTGCTTTTTGTCTCATCTGTCCACAAAATGTTCTTTCAGAACTGTACAGGCTACATGTTTTCTGGCAAACTCTGATCTGGTCTTCCTGTTTTTTGGGGCTTACCAATGGTTTATATCTTGTGGTAAACCCTCTGCATTTACTCTGTTGATGTCTTGATTGTTGACTTTCGCACATATTCTTGACCTGGCTGACAGTTATGAAGGGGTTTTTCTTCATTAGGGAAAGAAGTCTTGTGTCATGAACCACAATTGTTTTCTGTCGGTACATACTTTCTGACTTGGGCATATCTAATATTTTTTTATCTCTCTGATAGGTTTATCTTAATTTTTCAGTCTAATGATGGCTTACTTCACTGGCAGTGACAGCTCTTTATACATATTCATATTGAGAGTTAACAGCAACAAGTGCAAATGTAACACTTGAAAACAAGTCTAGAACTTTTACTTGATTACTTATAAGTGAAATATTGAGGTAATAACGCACGCCTGGCCATGGAACAGCTGAGCAGGCAATGCTTCTAAGCCAATTCCCTTCAAGCCCCTAAAAATCTGCACTTTGATGTTATACTCATTATATAATTTCAGCTCCAAAATACTGCAGTAGACAGCTAAAATTACAATAATGATGTGAAGAGATATAAAATTGTGTTCTGATCAACACTATGTGACCTTCTCATTGACATTAACACACTGTAAACAACAATCTACTGCTACTACTGTTTCAAAACACAGAAACAGTAACAGACATAAAGAGCTATAACTTGCTAAGCTTCCTATATTGACCATAATTTGCTTTGAATTCATGCTGTAGGTCTCTGCACTCTGTAACCACTTCATTTTGCTTATGATGTATTTTAAATAAGGCCTAATGTTTAAGCTATTTAAGCTTTTAGTCTACATGATGTTACAGTTTTTACTTTCACTTTGCAAAGCAGCCAAGCAGCTCTAATTTTAAGAGCTATCTCTGTATATTTTGAATTTGAAGACCCAACGGTGTGGTTTTAGGGCTGGCCTAAATATTTAATACTTAAGTATTTGTTCTGTTCATTTAATATCCAGAAGTGTCTTCTTAATAACAACAACTGTAAACAAAAAAAGTTATTAGCACAAGCCTTTAGACTTCAGTGATTGATCAATTCATACTGCCTCAGATTCAGCTACATCAAGTAAATGCTTCAGGTGGTTTACAGCAGGTTTTATAGCATGTTTAAAACTTGACAGCACAAACAGCAGACTTTTATTTTGAGAAAATCACAAACATAAGTTTTTACCACTGCATTTAAGAGGGTCTCACTGACACTCAGCTAATATGGTGCAAGAGCTGCTCTGCAACTACCACACCAACAAAATGATTTAAGCAAGTTATTATTTTAAATGTAATTTAGAATGCTGTAGAAAGTGGAAATGTGTGACTTGAGAGGAAATCTACAGAGTTTACTTGCATGCAGGTGAAAAATTACGACTGGTTGGAAGGGCTTGTGTTTTGAAGGATGTAAGATGCGTGTCTAGTGCATCCAGTGTGAACTGAAATATTGATTAAAATGAAAGCATACTTGTTACATTAAACAGGCAAATGAAAATGCTTGAAATGTTATGTTTTTTAAGGGTGATTATGAGAACTCATACTCATTAAGAACGATTTTGCAAATATAAAAGTTTTTGAATCCTATGAAATGCTGTTTGGAGCAACCCTAAATGTCTGGAAAATAAATAAAAGAGAAAAAGTATTGAATAAAACAAAGACTGTATGTTTATTTATGATGGCTAAAGGATCTTTATGGCTATAACACCCCAAAAACTGGCCTAGGGACACTCTTGGTACATGAACAACAAGGCATATTTCACTAACAAGTAATGAAAAGCTTTATGCAGCCAGTCAGCATTGTGTAAGCAGCAAGGCCATTTCCTAATGTTTGAGTTTGAAGTAAAATGTAAACACTGTTACAGTTTCAAAACGTGCCTTTCACTCCCCAGTCCATATAGTCCAAATATGGAAACTATGCAGCAAAAACAGTCTATTTTGAATTCACTGTTTCTATGATGTCATAAGAACCAATTCATTTACACATATCCACCTATTCAGCCTAGGTATCATACATGAGTCCTGTCACAGTAACAAAAACAAGCTATTTAATTCTAAAAGATAAAGAGAGGCTGGAAAATGATAACGTAAAAATGATTTATGATTGTATTTGATGCACAAAACCACCCAAATGTTATAAATAATATAAAGCAAAATGTAAGATATGGGCCCTTTATGTGATATCAGATAGGCTTATGAGGTTTCTGACACTGTACTGTTATCTATACCAAATGCACAAAAGTATGTCATGTACCTCAAAACAGTGGTTGCAGCTGCTCTGAAGCATAAATTATATTGGTACTTTTGTCCACTTTTATAACAGCATTTCTTACAGTGACAGAAACCACCTATATATTCACAAATACTTAACTGATGTGGTTTAAGGCAAGCGTGTGGTAATTTAGTCACGCAGTTCGCACAATGCTCATTTGTCTGCATAAGCTTCCATCACTTGCTCCAAATCTTATCAGTCTTGGTTGATCGACTGCATTAGAAAGAAAAAACTGCACAACCGTGATTTTTCACCAAACAACTATAATAAATTCTGTGTGCTGGATCTCAACAATGTATCTGACCTGCAGGTTAAGGAGTGTGGCTCCAGTCCTCATGGCCTCACTGATCTCCAGGCTGTAGAGAAGCTGGGGGAAGCGCGGTGGGCTCTGGTTGTTGGGAGGGAGAACCTCAATGTAGACAGTGGTGATGGAGCTCCTGGAACAGCACCAACACATTAGATTACAACAGGTGCACCATCGCTTCGCATGCTCACCTGGGGAACTGTAATATGTCATTCGCTTTACAGAGCATGATACATAAAAAAAAATGCTAATTATGTGGAATTTCTATTAGCTAACATCTGCCACACCAATCAAACGCGACATGTATTAATGCCTCTGATTCTTTAAGGCCTCTAATAACGTATGATTCATATTGTAGAACCTGACTCAAAGACAGCAAGACACTCATTCAACTAGTAGGTAAACTTTCTTCAAGTTGGATACCAACATTAGTAAACAAAGAATCTGTTCTTTGTTTACAAGTTGACATCCACAAACCAAACAAACCCTGTACACAAATCATTGCGAAATATAAACATGCTTAAGTACACAAATAGTATATTTAAAGTATATAAAGAATACTACACATTTTTAATTTAACGTATTTATGGAAATACATGTAAAATATACTATTTATGTACTTCATCATACTTCTTTTTCGCAAGGATTTGTTTGCACTCTGTGCTTCTTTGGATGCGCAAAAGATGTATTTCAACATAATGTAAATATAATTTAAGTACATCTTAGTTATGTTTTAGTTATTCCTAATATATGTAAGTGTTTACTTAATTATGTTTTATTAATTATTAGTAATTAGTAAATTATTAATTACTGTATTTAAGTGTATTTAGCGATATTGAAATCTAAATGAAAAAGCATTTAAGTAGTGGTATAACTCAATAAGCAGCATGGAAGTGTATAAGTATATACAATAGTATATTTATAGCAATATAATGTATAGTGTGATAATAGTTACATACATACTTAAATCCACTAAGTGCAAGTTAAAAAGCACTCAAATGTACAACTAAATGCATTTCATAACTATTTAATTATAGCTTAATCATACATTGTTCCAACATAATACATTTAGTACGTAAAGTTTGCTTAAACTGTAAACATTAATGCGGCTGCAATGCATGTTCATAACGCATATGAAGTCTGTATTTAACGTTTCATTTAATAAGGCTCAAGCTGATCAGGCAAACTGCTCATAGGACCACCTATTAACTGTGCTACACTTAAGACAACAGAAGTTAAAAGCCTGTTTTGAAAAAGTTAAGATATCAAAGACACCCAAAAGAAAGAGAAAGTTCAGAGATAGCAATGGTAATAAATAAAGTTCTTTCTTATCATTCTACAGGAGAAGACAGTACTGTGCTATAGTCAAATACATTTTCAGTCAAAATGTCAAATAAGTAGAAGCTCATTTTTCAGCACAAGGAAAAAAAAACAAAGCCTGAGCAACTAAATATAATATCAGATTTTCAGTGTTTTTCAGTGTGTCCACCCTTTGCATTTATTACAGCTTTTGTTCATTTCTACAGTCTTGCTCTAAATTTGTCAAAAAAATGTGCAGGACTACTTTTCTACATCCCCAAAGTTCAGTCTTAGAAATTGGTTGCAATTTAGGCTTTTCATGTGCAAGTAATCATAAACACACTCAATGATATTGAGGTATGGGCCATTGTTCTGAGAACACCTGTAGCTTTTTGGTTTGATTTGAAGTTTTCTGCTCTGTTTTCGATTTCCTTTTCTTATTCCTACATTTGGCTTATGACACATGGTTTTATGTAGTATCGGATGTTATTATCTGCGCATTTTTATGAGTTGAGTAAGTGTAAATAAGCACGTTGAATATTGATAAACCCTAATAACGCTTCATAAGTCTCTAATAACATAACTGTCACTATTCATTATGAAGCTTTTTAAATGGATAATGACATCACTGAGTGCTTCACGTACAGTGATTGATATTTTATGCTATTCTTTGTTTTAAAAGAATAATCTTAAAAAACAAATTTGGTATTAATAAATAAAATACTACTATACTGTACTATAAATGTATTTTTGCATTTCCTAACTAATTATAAAAGCACAATTATGAGTATTGCAATTTCTCTAATTCCTGAAAGATTACAGTAAACATGATTGTTTTGTCCAGTAAGAACAATTGTTTGTTTGTCTACAATGTCCAAATATGAGCCAAACTGTCTTCTTGACAGCTACACACCCATTCAGACCCATCGTGTTGTCTTCTCACAGTGGAAAGATGGACAGAAACACCTGTGGATTTTTTCAGATCTAAAGCAAGAGCAGAGCTTGATTTTCTCTGTATCCCATTTTCTTGATACCTTTTAATATGTTTTTGAGCTCCAGTTTCGGAAACTCATTTGTTTTTTACTTTTTTTGACTCTCCCCTTCCTTAAACAAGTGGATTATCTTACATCTAATCTCTCCTTAGAGATATCTTCTGACAAATGAATAATCTATCCCTAATAACTTGAAATTAAACAAGTGAAGGGTGGTCCCTGACTTTTGCACAAGACTGTATGAGGGAGGGGAAGGCACAAGCCACATAAACTTCTCATTTAGGTTTGTATGCCAGAAAGAATGTGTCCTACTACTCCTGAAACCTGGTGCAAAGGAAGCAGTACATCTGGCCCCCAGTGTATAGTCTGTAACCTGCAGTACCAACAGTATGACTCTTTTAGACTAGAGCATGTTCCAACACAGTGTCTTACAAAGCAAATTAAGATCAACTTGCACATACAGTAAAACTTGTAATACACTGACAAAAAAAAATTGACCATGCTTACTCCATCCAGTTAAGCGCCATCTGGCCAACCCAAATAATTACACACCTGCTGCCCTTCTCCTTCATCTAAAACTCCGCACTTTCTCCACTGTCTCTAACTGAGAGGATCTACAATATTCCATTTAATCCTCTGTGATTCCCATCCATTGGAAATGCGATCACAGCCAGAGTCAATTATGAAGGAGCTTGCAACTTATAAACAGTTCGAATCTGAACTCTGACATACTGCGGCGGCAGAAAACACTGCATTTCCTGAGCGATGCTCGCTCGAGTTCGGTTTCAGCGTCGGTGCTCTATTGATCCCGCAGCCTGACAGAACACCAGAGGGCAGCGGGCAGGCCAAAGTGGACTGGACAGAAGAGGAGGTAGCCGCAATTAGATGGAGAATCCTCTCATTTCCGGCCCTTCTGAGCGCCAGATGGACAAGTGCAAGGGACAATATCAGCACGCCATCCAGAGCAAAATCTGTCACCCTGCAGTGCTGTATTGATCTAAAGAAGGGGGGGTGGGGTGGGGAGATGGCAAGCATTCCCTATACAGTGTATGTCTGGCCTGAACAGGATCCTCTGCTCTCTCTCTCTTCTAGGGATGAGCATTTTACCCATTTTTGCTATTTGTAACTCTAAGAAGTCATGAGTGATTATGGCACTCCTAAATAGTTATAAATGTGCTTATAACTGTAACTTGGTAACAATGCTTTGAAGAATACTTATAAATTCCAATAATGTCTCATAAAGCTGTAATGCACCTATAATACTTATTAATGATTATAAGAATATTATAAACATTTACAGTGCCATCACTGAGTGCTTAAAGTGACTGATATCCTTGATCGATTGACAGGTTATGTTTGAATGTTAAATGTGCTGTTTATGTGTGTGTCAGTGTGTTCTCTGCTCTATAATATACTGCATATCTGTTATTACTGCAAGATTAGCTGCGAGAGCTTCCTGCCTTGCAAGGCTAATTAGTTGCCACTTATGTATTCTAGTCATATTTGGATATTGTAGGGCAAACAAGCATTCAAAACAATTGTTCTTACTTGACAAAACAATTGTGTTTACTGTAATCTTTGATGAATTATGAGAAATTAAGAAATGAAAGTTTTGAAAGCACAATAATTAGCCAGGAAATGTTGTCACTTCACAATACAAAAATGAATTTTAAAGTACAGTACTGTCATATTTTATTTATTAATAACATTTTATTTATTAATCATTTATTTATAAGAAAGGATAATATAAAACATCAATAACTATACATGAAGCACTCAGTGATGGCATTTTAAATGTGTATAATGTTTTATAATTGTTAATAAGTATCATAGGTGTTTTATAATTGTGCACTGGTCATCATTCATTTAAAAAGCATTATAAGGGATAGTGACACTTGCGTTATTAAAGCCTTAGGAAGCATTATTAGGGTTTATAAATATACTTACAAACCACTGTTACCAAGTTACAAAGAGTTTTAAGCATATTTCTTATGTCTAATGAATACAGGCTTTATAGAAAGCATTACCATGAATACATTTGTGTTGCTAAACTTGGGCCTGTCACGGTCATGAAAGTTTATCTGACGATTAATTGCCATGTAAATAACTATATTGTACGCAACTATTAATGTGGCCAAATTGGCTGATCAGCTGTCTTCCTAGCTGTCAATACTTAATGCCTTCCAAACAATGACAGAAATAGCTCAAATAAACAAACGCTACTCATTACTGCCCTCTAAAGGAAATTAGAGCCTTAAGAAGCATTATTAGGGTTTATAAATATGCTTACAAACCACTGTTACCAAGTTACAAAGAGTTTCATGCACACTTTTATGGCTTATGAATACAAGCTTTTGTTGTTTTCATAACACCCATGATGTGTCTTAATAAAAGTGTTTTCTGATTTCTTTTATTCCATGCTTCTGTTATCATCAACAATAACTACAACCACCAAAGGCTGAATAAACAGAATATTGGAGCTTAATTATTTTTACCCATGGTAGCACCTGTGACCTAGGCCTACCTCTGTCATTTGCCCAAATCAGCACAGAAAGCCTGGATTGAAAGGTTATCACCCAGATGTTCACAACAGCATTACAGCACTGCACAGACTCAGTAACATTAACAACACGTGGTCATGTCTGTTTGCTGGTTTTGCTATTCGAGTAGCACAAGGTGGATTGCAATTTGACTACTATTACTGAGAGATCTTGTTTCAGCCAATTACTCCAAAATTACTACTGTTACTGTCATCCCTACTTTTCTACCCTTAACTACCCTTAACAATTTACCTCCTCTGTGAGGGTGGGGCGTTGTCCGCAGCTCGGACAGTGAGGGCGTAAGAGCGTCCCACGGTCAGGTTGACACCTGGCACTACGGTGATCAGTCCTGTGCTGTTATTGATGGCGAAGTGTCCCTGAGCCCCCGCCAGGATGCTGTAGCTTATCAACCCGTTGGGACCCTCATCAGCATCCACCGCTGTCAGCTGAAAGCAAAACGTCACCTTTATTTTTGGCAGGGCTTACCCTGGCCAAGTGACCTTCAGCTCAGCCGCTTTTCCTTATACATGACATGTTGTTGCAGAACGATTAGGGAGAGAATATATTAACATTCTTACTGGTGTGATTACTTCAGAAATCCAGACAATAATATTTCAGACATTAGCACGTAACACATTGACAAATTATTATCTGAAGATAATAGAGTCACTAAGCTTTTCAGTTATTATATCATCAGTCAACAACCTAAGTATAGTGCCAGGCCATATAGTGCAACTACTTAAAACTAGATGTGAAATTGCAGGCAGTTCAAGCATTATTTGTGCATTTGAGAGTATTTTAAATCATAATGTGCTGTGATTTAAGATATATGGTACTAGTCACCTGATGTATGTGTTCCATAACTTTAAAGAACACTTAGTCATAATTAAACCACAAACATAGAATTAATGTTGAAAAACACATGTTCAATCTTTTCTTGTATTATTGTTATTCCTAGGAAACTAATAATGGCAAAGGAGCATTCCTAAACCCTAACACTTATTAAGCATGCAAAGATTTATGAATGTGTGACGCTGTTTTAGCCTGCTAACACTAGCTTCTAGAGCAAAAGAGGGCAGTAAAATGGAGCAAGAGCAGCTTAGCTAACAGCTATTCTATCTCTTAGATTTGAGTTCTTATACTCTAAATTTGCACTGAATCTTCAGTGAGCTGGAATCAAACCTGTTCTGTGGTGTGTAAAGCTGTAGTATGCTAAGATACTGCTTCCTGGTATTAAAACATATCTACACACCATATTTAACAGTTTATTAGATACATATGGTATATAAATTTGCAACCATTGTAATTTTAAATTCCATACATCATGATCACCACATCATAATCCTCTTATTAGCATATTATTATATGGGACCATGATAGGGTCATTTGTGAACTTCAATTGTGCTATAGTAACACAGTTGTCACAAATATCAATCTATGTAGTCATAATCGGTTACTCAAGAACAGTTCAAAAAAGTTTTTAAATACATTTCGGATCTAAATTTTATACTTAAATGTCTAAATTGTTTTTCTTTTTACTAAGACCGTAAAGTTGATGCCTAGGTTTGAATTTTTTTCCTAAACAAAAGTTTCATTGTTTTTTTTTAATCACCCCATCAAGTAGTTTTTAGTAGCCAACAAGGTTTCAGTATATGTTCATGCTTCATAGCAGATGGCTTTTCATTGAAGATGCTCGAATGAACGCAAAGCTACATCAAGGCAAACTGGAGCAACTCTGAAGAACGTGGCCACTTTGTTATGTATATCTACCTTGTTTCTACATTCATTGTCCATTTTATCAGCTCCACTTACCATGTCGATGCACTCTGTAGTTCAGTTACAAATTACATTCAATCTGTCTCTGTTTTATTAGTACCCTTTTACCCCATTCATCAATGGTCAGAAGAACCAAAACAGGACGACCACTGAGAAGGTATTATTTGGGTGGTGGATCATTGGTCTTGGCTATATAACAAATCAGTGGTCTGCATCCACTATTCATCCACTGCTGTCCTTAATGGAGAAGGAAGTTAGCTTTTTTAAAATGCAAAGAGGATTTTAGCTTGTAACCCATCAGCAACTTTGATTACTAGGCCAGTGACTTCTTCTAAAGCACAGTCTGGTTTAACAGAACGGAAATATTTTTATTTTGCAAGAGATCTTTTTTTGTGTTCTCCACACATCCAACTGTCATCTACACGTCTAACTGGGGGGGCTTTTCAGTCACACTAACTTATGCTACATCCATGGGCTAACAAAAGACTTCTTGTCCCTCAGACAATCCCAGCAAGAACACCATCACCTCCTCCTTTGAGCTCCAATAACATGAGTTGTTAGATCATATCTGGTCCCACAAGACTAATTTATTGTCCTATTTATTAGATACACCAACTTTGTTGGTCCACCTTATATATCTAAAGTTACAAGCCATGTAATAAAGTGGTTAGTGAGTGTATAAGTCACATTAAAACAAGTAAGTCAGAATGGGGTCAATATGACCCAATTTTTTGTTGCGACTCTAAAATACCTAGACTTGTTAGATCATGGGACATAACAACGCCAAAACTGCATTGGTGGTTGCACAGTCTATTCGGGTGGAACGTTTTCAAAATTGTCATATCTAGTAATACCTGCTCAGTGGTGGTCTTGGGGGTGTCCTATACACTGATGAATGGAGTAAAGGGGGGCTAACAAATTGAGAGAAATTTTCAGAGAAAAAAATAAATGGACTACAGTCTGTAATTGTAGAACTACAAAGTGCACCTATATGGTAAGTGGAGCTGATAAAATGGACATACAATGTAGATACAAGGAAAGTGGCAAGTGAGTATTTAAGATTGTTCTGATTTAACCTTTTCTGTTATTTCAAAGCTCTGATGTCTTATTCGAAAATGTGGAAAATTGAAAACACTTCATGAGTAGATCAGTCCAAACTTTGTACTGTACTGTATTTTAGCCTCAAGCACTTCTGCTACATTTAATAATGTTCTTATCCCACTAGCTCTCAGGACAAGAAAACAGATGTGAAATTCTAAAATACTAATGAACTTTTTCTTCCGACTAGACACCGATGACAGCAGGCTGTGTCATTTGAGGCAGAGACTGGTCCTGACCTTTTGTGTCAATCATTCACTTCAGCATGTGAGACTGACTTGCACTGCTAGTGCCTGGACTACTAAGCAGGTTATTAGGCCGAGGGCTAGAGCACCACACAAGCTGAGAGAAAGTCCAGCTAAGGACGAGACTGAATGGAGAGATGCTGCAATTATTCCAGCTATAAGCCCTTCATAAACAAGGTTGCTAATTCTATTACTCTGCCAGAGAGGACTGTTTGCTAAAACAGTGAGTGGCTTATCGATTACCCGTAATACTGTTTCCCCAGGCTGCATGTCTGTGTAAACATTGACGCTGTAGGAGACGTTGGGGAAGGTGGGCGTGTTGTCGTTGGCATCGATCACCGTGATATTAACGGTCACCGGGGAGCTCTCCTGAATCCCGTCTGAGGCGATCATCTGTGGGATGAAGCAGAAAGATGTGATGATGAAAGGCTTGAATACAGCACTAAGGCCATGATGCAGAGTAGAGGGCATTAACAATTCTCTGATGTATGTGTTTCACTGATGTAAGCATGTTAGCAGTTCTCAATGTAGGAAAAGAAAAACAGACAACAGCTACATATCTTTAATGCAGCAAGTGTTTACATCATGCAGGCTGTGTAGATGCTTGTTATTTTTCAGAACCTGAGCATCTGAACACTCACAGCACGGAACGAGTGCTCAATCCACAGACGTCTGGGGCTATTACTGTTGTTTTGCTGTACATTATTTTTAAACTAATTATGATGATGTAATCACATGATTATGAGTATTGTACAAAAATCAATTTAATTTCCAGTCAAAAGAGCCATTAAGTAAAAGTAATTCTGAGGGGATTAGATATAAAATAACCTACTTGCATAAAGAAGGGGAAAGTCATAGAAAAAATAAGTGAAAAAAATGCATTTCAAAAAATAATTAAAAGATAAAGACTAATTGGGAGAACCATGCAAGTCTACCAGGTAGTCTACCAAAACTGCCTCCATCATACAAACAGTAGTTTCATCCGTGGAAGACAGGAGAAAATCAAGTTCCTCTCTTAAAAAATCCACAGATGGTTCTGTTCATCCTGTGTAACTGTCAAGAAACAGCTGCGAGAAAAGGAAATAGACAAAAAAGAAGAAAAAATGCAGACAAAGAAGTTGCTGGTGTTCTCAAGACAATGGACTGGCCACCCAAGAGTCCACCCTTCAAAATCACTGAATTTTTTTGGCATTACTCGGATCGTGAGAGACAGGAAATCCAGTTTTCTGAGACTGAACTTTGTAGATGTGGGAAAAAAAATTTCCTGCAGATTTCTTTGAAAAACTGAAAGCAGCATAAAATACTTCATAAAATACTGGAACTTGTGAAAAAGGCAACCATGAGCACATTAAATACCATAAAATGTACATATTACATATATATTATTAAATAAAGACATTACATTCAGTCATTGAAGCGTTGTTTTTTTTTCCCTGACACTGAAAGATGAATAACTTGTACTTGATTTATATTCCGTATGAGGTTCTGAGAGGTCTCTGAGAGGTTTAAGTCTGCGTTTCCAAGTGTTTTCTCTTTTTTTTTCCTGAAAATGAACAAACTTCAATTTCATTTTGCAGCATGATATGTGGTATGGTATTGCTGAAAAAATAAAATGTTATTAAAAAAAAGGAACAATAAGTATTTTCGGCTGCTTATTGCTTACCTTTACTATGTTAGTCTATTTCTCGTAGCTTGAACCAAGTTCAAAATTCTTGTGAGGGTGTGACGAGTTCAATAGAGGGACCCCCTGCTGTTTCGCTAGGCTGTCAAGCAGGCTAATCTAAGGATCAGAGAGGGGCCAGAATGGAGCTGGAAGGAGAGCATGCTCAGCCTGTCATCTTCCACATGCAGCACAATGGCTTATGTGAATTAACGCAGATGTTGCAGAATGTGAGTCAAGTACAGCAACATCACAAGGCAGACCTGGTGAGAAGAAAGAAGGAACCTCCGCGGCGAGCAGAACATGAAAGATTCTCCAGGTTCAAAGCTGTCGCCATGGAACGCTCCCATGGAGAAGAACCGACAGAGCAGGAAGAATCAGACAAAAGCCAACAGGTCAGCACAGCATCAGCAAGTAATGTGGAAATTAGTCACCCTCTTAGTGTTCTTTGTGCCATTACATCACACCTCTGCAGGTCTTTCTGCCTCAGACAAGGAGCACAGTTAAAAACAACTATTGCTTCACCGTTATATTGATGTTCTGGTGCACAATCCAACAACCAATAAACATTATTTTTGGTAAACCTAATAACAATAGTAATTAGCATGTGTCTGACACATAGGCTTGGCATACGATGCTACCTCAGCATTTGCTTTAATGACCCAACACTTCAGAATGTTAAGTCTGAAAAAAAAAAACATCTGTTGCCACCTTATGTTAATGTTCTGGTGCACAATTGAACTACTTATCCAATTCTTTTTTATGAGAAATCTTCATAAACTATGGTGATTTTTAAGGTAAATAAAGCAGTTAGCATCTCCTATGCTAATCTGTCTTCAAATATTGCTCGCTTTTTTAGGGGTTAGGTGTACAGTGTTAAAGTGAATACCGGCATGTTGTTCTCTTATGATTTGAATTTTTCTGTAAAAAGGATACTGTGATAAGCCGAAAAACAGTGACTACAACTGCATACACTGCCCTAATAATAACAACAGCAATTATTAATGTTATTATTGCAGCATTGTTTTGTTATTCTTATTACTATTGTCACCATTGTAAATATAAATTTTATAAGATATCGCAAAATCATATTGTGACCTTTAAAATAGTAGAAAATACCATAATATAAATGTGTTCACATCGCCCACCTCTAACAAAGCAACTGTTGCCACAATTGGCTAAGTGCAGGCTAGTAGTGGGTAGTGCCAAAAACGTATATCCCAGTATAACTAAAATTTATGACATGACGGTTTCACTATATATCATGTTTTAATGTATTTATAGTAATGTATTCAAATAAAGCCGTTTTAGATACTTAAGTAACCTATTTTTGTAGGTGAACAGAGGTCTATTATTCTAGAATGTCCTTTCTTTTTTAATGAGGACCATATTTAAGTAAAATATTTTATTGTGCAAAACAAAACAGATCTGAACAATATAGATGACCCGTACACCTAGGCATGCAGTGGCATACAATGGTGGTAAATGTGTATTTATATGTATTTATGTGTATTCATATGTATTTATATTTATTTGTTTGTGTATCAACTCCCTTGTCAACAAATCAATATGCCACGTCTGCATCCTTTTTTTTTTTTCTTTGAATGGAGTCGGGAAAGACAAACATTAATTTATTGCCAAACGGTGCTATTTTTGGTCAGAGGTGTCGACAAAGTTGATTACTCCCAATCAATTGTACAAAAAAAAAGTCAATGAATTGTACTCAAATGAAAGTACTCTCTTGCTCTGTAATATCCATATAATAAGCAACATCATTGCAATACACTACAGAAAGCACAGAGAGCTATGTATTGTTTTCTGTTATGTAGATTAAACTTTACAAATTCAAAGATTATAGAAATAATCATTAGTCATTACTATTAGCCTCACTGTGCCACAAGTAACTTGCTGTGCAGTCATTTGTATGTAAGACGACAGACTGGGTGTACAGCAACATCACAAGGCGGACCTGAAGCTCCTGAGCTCCCTGGGCTGAGGGCAGGTAGGCTCAGGCGCCGTATGAATCAGCATGTGGCGAGAGTGCCGTGAATGCTAACATGCACTATCGGGTCCCCTGAGCCACCCTTTCCGCTCATGCTTCCAAATCTGCATGCGTTCCAGCCCCTCCACTGTCTGCCGTCATCAGCCTCACTGAATACGGGAAACGGCTCTCAACAGCAAGGAAACGTTCACATGGTAATGTGAATGGCTAATATAGTATGAACAGAGCAGCAGGAGGCTCCAAAACTCTGACCAGGCATTAGAGGTGATAAGCTGGTGTAAAGAGGTCATATATGTCTAAACAAACAAAAAAAAAAGTAAAGCAGAGAAACAGCAAACTATCACCAGGGAGTCCAGCTAGACTGCAAGCAGCCCGCTGACTTTTCAATTTGAAGGTGGTCAGGCAAGGTCTCAAAAAATCAGTGTGCATGGAGACAACGATCTACCTCTTAATGATGATAAGATGAAAGAGACGATTGTTGACTTCAGAAGGACTTGCAGTGATCACTCTCCACTGCACGTTAATTATTCAACTGTGGAGACAGTCAAAAGTTCCTTGGTGTGTATATCACCTATGACCTCACCTGGACATTCAACACCACCTGGATAGCCAAGAAAGCCCAGCAGCAACTTCACTTCCTGCGAAGGATGAAAAGAGCAAACCTGCCCCCCTTCCATCCTTACGACCTTTTACAGGAGGTCAATTCAGAACACCCTGACCAGCTGTCTCACCAGTATGGAAACTATGCCATCTTGAACTGTAGGACCCTACAGGAATGTGAGATCTTTACCCCCCACTGACACCCCCTAGCGCAAGCGCTGCATCAGCAAGGCAGCATTGTGGATAACCCCTTCCCAGTTCTCTCACAGACTCTTCACCCTCCAGCCATCTGGCAGAAGGAGCATCCGTTCCACCAACTCTGGACTGCAACAGCTTTTTCCCTGAGGCAGTCAGACTACTAAACACAGTGATGCCCCCCAACATCCACCTGGACTAATCTACAACCCTTCCAACATCCATCATAGGCTGATCACACACCCCTTTACCACCACTGTACATCTGCACTTTAAATTCTTTACTTTTTTTTTTTTATGAGACCTCAGTCTTTCTGCACAGTTTATGGTTGACAATGTTTGCACTATTACCTTCATCACTCACCTGCTGCTTTGATGGCAATCCATGTGTATATTTGCATGTGTGTATATACATAGACATGATGCTCATTTGTATATAGTGTTTTGTTGTCCTGTCTAGCATTTACTGTCAGGTGTATTTATTGTTCTGTATATTTATTGTCTGGTGTATTTATTGTACATTCTGCAATCGTTTCACTTTGTCATGTATCTGCACTCTGTGTACTCCTGTGTTGTGTGCCTGAAGGACGATGTTTCATTCCAATGTATACAAGTTATATTGAGGAATGACAATAAAGACCACTTGACTTGACTAGATTTGGCCTGAAATGAGATCCACTGAGTTCCACTTAAGCCTTGATAAGATGGCAGCAGTGATCCCTCTGATACAAAACAAAAAAACAACTTTATAAAGTAGACATAACACTTGCCAGAAAGGTTAATTGCATTTAATATAAGGCTTCACGCTTCAGAAAATTGTGAAGCACTGTATAATCAAATTCAAATGCTAGTTTCTATTTTATATTATAATATCATTCATTTGGGTCAGACAAGAGAAAACATTAAGAGAAAGCTCTTAAGTATTGATGGAGATTTT